ATTTATTTCTCAAATATAACATTACAGTATAAATTGCACTACATGTCAAAGTATAAGAAATTATATTGAAATCGTCAGACAAAAAGGAAAATTATGAGAAAAGCACACAATAATTAGAAAATTAACAATTCATTATATAATATTGTTGTCATTAAATTATATATCAAATATCATTCTCCATCAAGGATCGTCATAAGTTGATAACAATTATACAAGAGTATGTTAATGCGGTAAAAATTACAATAAAAATATAGAAAACACTGAATTCGTTACAATTTAAAGTCCATAAATTCTTTTACGGAGTATATAGGATTTTTCAAGAAAAGGTCTTTCAGCCGGCGCCCAAATATTTCGTCAGACGGTTCAAGTTTGAGAGTAGCGGGTAAACGCTCATAGTAAGTAGGTCCGATGACACGCGGGTTTTTCTCTGCAAGTGCCATGCGTCGAGGGACTGTTCTCAAATGACCGTGACCGTGACCGTGACATGTAAAGAATGGGCGCATGAAACCTTCGCGGATATCCCACAGTGCTCAGATCTCTAAGTTGCCAAAAACTAGACCAATGATTGGTTTGGTGGTTGAAATTGTTCGATAATTATATATGTTGATTTATTTGAATGTCTAATATGATTGTATATCTGAAAATGTTACGTGTCGTAATAAAACATGAATTTCATTTCTAAATTTGTTTTTTTTAACCGACTTCAAAAAAAGGAGGAGGTTCACAATTCGTCTGTATGTTTTTTTTGTATGTGTGTTACGCGATAACTCCGCCATTTGTGAACCGATATTGATAATTTTTTTTGTTGGAAAGAGGGTACCTCAGACTTTTCGGTTTTTTCGTCGGTCGGTTTTTTTAACCGGAGGTTAGGTTATCAAAACCTTAAGTGTCCAGTACTGGAGGGATTCCCCCAACTACAACTTATGTACATTTTTTTTATGGAAAGAGTAAGTTGCTGTTGAGATTACTAAGAAAATATTTAAAAATTAGTTAGAATAATAACCAAATAACGCACACACGCATATCCCCGCACTAAATCCCGTGTCGTGGAGGCAGTTATAAGAAATGATTCTTGAATAAGAAAGTATTCTTTGTACAATTTTCGTTTAAAATATAATATTATTTCAGATCAACCACGTGAATATCCAGACGATAGCGACGGTGATGGGCCCCGCGCTCAACATGTCGCTCAATCTGCTCACCTATCTCATATCCAAAGCGGAGAAACTTTTCCCCGGCGTTACCCTCTCTAAGTAAGTTCTACATTCATTTTCTTAGGCTACCACCACACCGACTGTAAGTCTCGAGACCTCGTCAATGGACGCTACAATTTTACAATAGTTTAGGTTTACAATAGTGGATAATAGGTACTGTGCGCGTGACCTTCTCGAATTTTCGCATCCGAGAGAAGAGCGAGCGAGACGCGCGTCAATGCTACCCGCGAGCCTTCTTCATCTTTTCGAAAAGGGCATCTGGGCTCTTTGATTTGATAATTTTGAGAGGAATCCATGACTAGAAAAAGGTTAAGAAACCCTGATTTAAGTGCACCCATTACTGTAGACATTCAATCTGTTAACAGCGTTACAATCCTGTAAAAACATTTTCATCACATAAAATTTTGTATCATGTTTAGCAAGACTCAACGTAACGGAAATAAACTTCATGTATTCATTTATTCATATTATACAATTTACACCAACAATAATAAAAACTAAACATTCAAGCCATAGTCAATATAGGGTTGAGTCAATCACCGCCCAAAAGCAAGCTGCTGAATTTCAATCACAGAGCTTCGGGCGGTGACCGTCTCCAAGTAGTAACCAGCCGAAGTCAGATATTTCGATTGAGAGTTACTGAACACGTCAGTATGATTAATACTATATGACTTTATGACGTTTACACGTATGACTTTATACCGTTCTCCAACAGATATGTGCCACCTCTCCTATCAATACCATCTGATTTCCCCGATTCCGCGATCGAGATCAGTACGGAACTGCGCAAGCAGGAGAGTCTCTTGAACCAGATTCACGCGGAGATGCACGCTGGCTTCATCACTACGGCACGCGACCTGCAGCTTTGGGAGGCACAAACAATAGTCACTCAGCTTAAGGTAACCGTCAATTTTATTGCTTTTGACGCTTAACGGCGGCGCCAGATTTGACTTTTGACATCAACGTTCGTATATTAGTAAAATAAATAGGCGTTCAATATTCCATTATGGCACATTGGACAAGCGAGTGTCGCTTGCCCGCCGAAGGCGACATACGACTCGATTTAAACGGCGAGTCAACAGCGTCGCCTTCGACTAGGAAGTAGTCTGCCGAAGGTGGTAGACGACCCGATGTAAATGTGTCCTAAAGGTGATTACGCACTGCATCCGGTCATTGTATTGTAAAGTGACATTGGTAGGATTGCCAGTTTTCATAAAATTTTAAATAGTTATGTATTTGTTGCGGGATTTGGTTATTATATATACTTAATTAAAATTAAAAACTTTAAAGTATGTATCCTCTTTATTTTTCATAAACATAGTTCTAAATACAGAATAGGTATGTATGAACTTACAAAATTGACAATTGAAATGAATCCGTGCTCAGTAATTGGATGAATAATGGTTCGAGGTTTATTCAAATGAAACAAGTTCAGCTATTTATTCTCCAAGCGTGTCGATAGTCGATTGAATATGTATCGACTGCTATCACTAGCTGCTCGCAAGCGGGCAACGCTTTTGCGTAATGAACTAACATTTTACTCCGTCTTCAAAACAGACATACTTTAGAAAATTCGGACTAACTTCGGATGTCATTTGTGCACCTAATTCGCAAAAATACGGACATCGCTTGTACATCTAGAGATTCACAATTTGGGCCACTCTGGTGCTGTATTGCGTACAGCGTTTAAGTCGTTCGTCACCTGTGTGCACTTTCAATTGCCGTCAATTTTTTACTTTGTTATTGTAAGGTACAGCCTTTCCTTATAACCTGACTTTTCAGAGGAACATTTTATAATTATTACCGAATCAGTGTGTCCCAAATTGGTATGTCCACTTTTGATTTAATTTTAAATATCTGTACCTTGTACTCCACCCCTCCGCCCCGCCGCCGCCGCCACCGGTTCGAACTCGAATCGGACGCAGTGTTATATAAATCTTAATAAAAAGTCCGCAAGCGTTAATACAAAGTAGGTAGAGTTATATATAGGTAGAGTTTCTGTAAGATGGAATACAGATTTAGGTGCAATCCCCCATTTAAATAGTACTATGACTACTTCGTACCGCCATTTCTTGGATTCGAAACTGATATGAATCCAACCCAGTGCGCAAACGCTGTAAGACTGTTTAGAAAGCGTCATTCTGTATCATTGTTTACGTAGATACCTTCAATAAAAAATATTTGCAATTATAACTTTGGCACGCGTTTTAGTGATTATTTAAGCATGCGCTTTTTATTATATAAGCAATATCACAAATTTTGTTTCCAGAGGAAACTACGTTCTGTCCAAAAGTCTGTGGAACCGAATGCCACAAACGCGTTGCAGACTCCGCAACTTTCAGTAGACGAGAAACCGCAAGAATTATCCGAAGTTGAACCAATGCGCAGGGATTCACAACCGAGTGAAGCAAATAATACCGAAATTGCAATTGCTAGTGTAGCAGCAGCAACCGTGACGACACCGTCTGAACCAGAACTAGAAAAATCTCCGCCAAGCATTAGCAACGACATCTCAGTAGATACAAAAGAATCTCCTTCATTAGAACCACCGTTCGAAGCAGAATTTGAAGATAATTTTGATTTCAAACCAGAAAAGGCAACCTCAGAAGAGCTTGAACTACCATTAGAAGAAAAACCGAAACTAACTGAAAAAGAACTTCAAATTCTGAGGCTAGAGCTCGAAAATGCAGAGTACTTACAACTTAAGTCATTGTTGCAAGCGAAGATCAATTCAGAACAATTCGAAATAGTGAAGTTGAGGAGCCATGTTGCGTTGAAAAATAAACAGGAAGGGAGTTCTCAAAACACGAAAGAGAATAGAGAAAATACACCAGAGGAACCAGAATTAAAGCAAAGACTGATGAAAGAGATCGCAATGCTGGAGCAGAAAAGACTGACATTGATTAATCAGATTTTCCAAGAACGAGTGGCCTGTGTGCAATTGAAGATCGAACTAGCTATGAAGGAAATTCTTTCTAAGTCTTAATGGTTTCTGTTAATATTTGCTCTTGTTATTTGGTTAATCCTATTCTTATGACGATGGTTTGCCAATTATTATGCTACAAACGGTTCAATTGACTGCCTCCGTGGCCGAACGGTTACCATGCCGGACTACCACGCAGAGGTCAGAGGTTCGATTCCCGAGCCGGGAGAAATATTTCTATGGCCTACATTTATTTCTCTCGTTAGTTTGGGTGTAATTTGTGGTTGTCTATGTTTGTGTCCATGGCACCCGCGACACAGGGTTTCCCTAGTACGGAGCTATATTGAGTGTGTGCGTTATTATTATTATTATTATAATCTTATATTTGCAAGATGCAAGGGGTTCGTCCTTGCTGGGAGTATTTGGTTATATGTAAATGACTAATAAATATAAACGCGTTGAGGAAAACTTACGAGGTTGTAAGCGAGCTAAAATTTCCTAAGTGAAAAATTTTATATTGCTCTTGCTTTATTTATATCGAAATTATATAAGCAAACTATGTGATGCTCTGCTCGGAACATCCACCATTAAAAATTAGCTGTAAAAATGCGAATACTCGACAGGGACGTTCCCAGACGTATATGAAATTTGCAAAACTATAATTTATCCATTAGTATTATTTATATTTGAATGATAGCATATCACAACGCATTAACAAACAACAAGAAGTTTAAACTAAGTTAAACTTTCATATACATATTTTAAACTACGAATTGAGTAAAAGTATTTAACTTACATGTTTCTAATGGGTACACGTCACTTTCTTTTACCAGAATAACGAAATTTACTCTCAGTTGGAAGACTCGAAACACTTAAAAAACAAGTAGGGATCTTTTGACTTGAAGACTTGTTTTGTATAGCCTTGAGTCTCTGATCGTCAAGAGATGTTCATGTCAACTTAACTTCAATAAGAGTTAACGCATATAGCTCCAAATTTAACATAAATTTGAGTAGGTTCATAATGTCAGTACCTCTTTTTTATACTTTTCTTCCAATTCCCTAAATTTAAAAATAGGAACTCCAGTTGTTGGGCTACTGTTGATACTCTTGCTTAGCTTGGTCCAGATGATTTCCAAAATGGTCTACATCGTTCCCCATGGGCCCACTCCTACCAACAAGGCGACCACGACGAAAAAAATCGCGAAATAAATAGGGGGTAGATGAGACGATAATATCCAAAAATTATGACCAAAATGTTAACTTTCCATAAACGGAATAATCCACATTACACAGATAGTGCCTATGTATTCACGTAATACTTCCTTATTATAGACATATAAATTACCCATAAATTAAACATTTCGAAACGAATGATATTCGGTTAGATAAATGTAAAAAAATTAATATGCGTTTTTTATATTTTTTTATTAACTTATCAGTGTGAGTAGCACTGTTTCAACTGTCAAAAACACATTTTAAGTTGATAAATTTGTGAAAAATCTATATTACCAATGGCCTCTGTCGCTGAATATCATTTTCGCAAGATACCACATTCGCAAAATATCATATTAAGTACGATTTACAACATTCTGTACTGTTAGGAACAATATAGAAAATTACAATTTATATATTATTCATTTTATATCATTGTTAAAAAAAGAGGCAAAGATACAAAATATAAAATTAAAAAAAATTGCATTTGACTGATCAAAAAAGAAATAGAAAAATAATAGAGAAAAACAAAAAAATATCAGTATAGTCAAAGATAGCGTAAATAAAACAATAAGTATTCAAGTGTGTCTGAACCGATTAAGTATACTACAAAATCTGGATCACTGAAGAATTTTTATTAAAAAACAAGTACTTTATTACTAAACCTTTTTTTTATTATTATTATTTCATGATTATTTGCAATAATTCTATCGCATGCTTTTCATAAGTTACAGCTTTGATTTGCGAAATTCTATATCCTAATGTAATAGGTGTCATGAGTAGGGTCTTAATTTAAAAGGATGCTATTGATTTCGACTTCACCTGTATGTAGGTATACATTATACACATATACATACGTTTTTACGTGCAATTTTTTGTGCATTTCTGATTTCCTGTTGCACAGGGTACGTCTAATACTACCTAATCTAACCCATAGTCTGTCGCTAGTAAGGCTTGCTGTTATTACCTGTACTTAGAATGTTGTGTTTTGCGAATGTGATGTTTAGCGAATATGGTGTTTTAAGAATGTAATATCTTGAGAATGTGGTATCTTGCCAATTGCTTTTGTGAACATAATGTCTTGCGAATATCATGTTTTGCGAACATGTTATTTTGCGAATATGATATTTAGCGACAGAGGCTACAAGTGCAAGGGGTCTACGTAAAACTGCAAAAATTGGAATGTGGTATGAGATTTTGAGAACCTCTGGTCCAGACTAGTTACCTCTGCGTGAAATACATTTCTGACCCACTTTTACTCTGGTAGCTTGGTTATCACGGTACAGATGTACATTGATGTACTCATATATAAAACTTCATATTTTCCCGTACGAGACAATTCCCTGCCTTAACAGTTCTTAATAACATTGCGGACGGCCTAGTGACGAAATTCTTACAAGCTCATTCCGCTCAAAACGAAGAGTGATCCTATTTTAGATATTAACTAATTTAACACAATGGCTTTCAGTGTAGATACGATCTAGAAACGAATACCGCGAGTTGTCTATTAAATAGTTTCAAAGAACTATTTTAAAAGTAACGTAAATTTTCATGCAGAAACTCTCCATTTTGTGCAAATTTTTCAAGTAGATTTTTATTTGAAAACCCACGGACACTGAGAAAAATAATAATTTCTGGGACACTCTTAACTGAGTTTGAACTTCGTTGTTGTTGTGTCTTTGATTAGATGAACACTAAGGCTCTTAAATATAATCTTATTGCCAAAAGCAATATTACAAAAGTGAGTTGTAGATTTTAAATAGAGTGCTTGTATTTTAGTAATTTACACTAAGTATTGTAATATGTAATAATCAGATTTCGAACTAGGCAGAGCACGTCTACCTAAACTTTAAGTAACATACATTAAAGTGGATAGTACCACCCTCTGAAATCTTTGAATAAATCAAAATAAAAGGCATAAAATCTAAATATTCTTTTTAATAAAAATATTTATTTTAATTTAGGCGTAGTTTACAATTCAGGGTTCCAAACTTTTAAGTAAATACATACTTTGTACTAGGACTTCCGAAAAAAACATTTTTCTCCTAATTGCACTACCGTAGTTATTTACACATTACAAATACAGAACCGAATACAATACAATCATTCCGGAATTTCAGATGGTAGTATTATACACTCTTGGTGAAGCCAAGCACATCTTGTCATCTGCTGTCCAATTTTTCTTTTGATAATCCCTTATTATGAAACAAAATTTGTAAAATGTTTCAACATTTCTACATCTTAATATATAGAAATGTTGAAACATATAACATGTAATTTCGTCGCTAATTCTCCATTTTGCCATATATTACCTTATAAAGTATTCTTTGTTCTAGTATGCGACTCACTCATACGAAACACTCTTTTTGGTAAAGACCAAAAATAGTGTTTTTGATCTTGGCTTTTTGATCATTTTCTTCTCCTTGATTTTAATTGAGAGCTTCTTAAATTTGATTTGAGATGCTCGTTCATATTTATCGCGAAAGTATTTCACTGGTTTCCGATTGAATTGCTTGAAAATACCATTCCGAGGCCTTATCACCTGGAACTCCATAATGCCGCTGAGCCCTACATCTATTACCGGGTGCAGGACCCGCGGCGCTTACCCCGCTGGCTCATATCGCCCTCGTACACTTCCGTAAGCTGAACCTATTATCGCTCTATATATGCTCTTGTTATTAGGATCGTTTACTTGGCTCTGGGAATAGACACTAAGAAAATTTATGTAGAAAAGGATGGTTTAGTCGAAGCAGTCATTGGGTGCAAATGTGAACATGTACACTCCGATTGGTGCAGAACGCCACCTCCTGTGTACTTGCCATTATATCTGTTGCTTCGCGTGCACCTTTTGTTTCTGGGGTTTAGCTCAAGAGCAGAGGTTTCCAACACCCATCTTCACCTACCGTATTCTATCTACTTCGCTACCCCTACACATCTTTTCCACCAAATGTTTATACCTTTTTTTATGATACGAAGTGACGGGACAAACAAGTCGTGTGCCAGGTGTTAAGCGACACGCCTGTCCATAGCCTTTGCAGTGCGTTTCAGAGCTTAGAATCGCAAAGATCAAGATCAAGATCAAAGATGAGGGACACTGCCATGCGCCTGTCACCCTGACACATAAGTTGTCAAGTCCCATGTGCCTGTAATTTCACCAGCACTCTTACTCTTTAAGATGTATTGTGTTATTTATCTTTTATTGCTTCATTCCTTTTGATTCAGTAGCTTTTTACTTTTTTCACTGTACATCCTTGAAGTTCAGGCAAATAGATATACTCTGCCTGTTTGAGATTCCTGGTAATAGTATATCTTCATCTATTAAATACTTGGAAGAAATAGTTTAAAATTGAAAGAAAGATGATATACCTCTAACCAGCGCATTAAATATATCTAGATAGTTTTATCAGAACAATTAAAGAATAATGATAAATATATGATGATAGATTTTATACATTAATACTAAAATTATTTTTGACCCAGTGATACATTTTGTGCTCTACCCAAATAGAATTAGTAATAAATATAATATACAATAAAATTTTATCTTTAAGATGAAGTTGAGTCTCAGAGACGAGTCTTTGAAATACTTACAGCATCCTATCGTTGGATAGTTTGCTAATTAAATCTCTAGATGAAAAAACTGCTTTGCACACGACTGGGAGATCTACCTTGACGAGAAAATTCCTCTTTTATTTCAGCTGGTGAATGTACTAATATCAAACAACTTGTGCAAAAAAATTCGCATTTTTTTTATGTAGTCATTTAGTACGTTCACCAGTTGAAACGTGGTCGGACCATTATATTACTACTACTAATCCTATTTAGCTTAACGTTTCACTTGCGATTCTATTCATAAATTAGGTAATGCTTTTAATATTGAGTGACCTACTACCTGTAAATAACGCTTCCCGTACTGGTGCTTGAGCGAGCATAAAGTCTTTAAGACATCTCGTCTG